CGGGCGGGCTCCTTTGTTCGGCTGCGGCGAAGGCCGCCTTTTCCCCGGGGCGCCGCGAGTGACGCACTGGGCTCGGCCGCTCCGGCGCAGCTGCTCCCGGGCTGGGGACGGCGGGGCGAGGCAGGCAGGCGGGGGGCGGCTGTTGCCCCGGGGCTGCGATCGCGCGTGTGCTCTGCCCTCGGCCGCCCAGCCAGCCTCCGCCTCCCCCTCGGCGGCTCCGGCCTTTCCTCCCGAGGGGGCGGGAGGGGGTCTTCTCTGAGCCGCCCAGAGGGAGAGGCCGAGGCCGGCAGCCTGGCGTGGGCGAAGTAGGGCGAGCGGAGGAGCCGCAGCCTTCGGGGCGTCACCCGGGAAGGCGCCTCGTTCCTGCCTCCCTCTGGGCCCCTGGCGAAGCTGGCCGAGGCTTTGGGGAAGGGGGAAGCCGAAGCGGGCGTGGGCTTGGTGGTCTGCGCTTCCGCTGGGCTTCGGGGCCTGAGCAGTCTCTGTCCCTGCAGGCGCTGAGCCCTTTGCCGAGGGAGCAGCTTCCACGGCGGAGGCCCCGGGGGCCCTTGGCAGCCGCCCGCCATGTCCATCATGGACCACAGCCCAACCACAGGGGTGGTGACGGTCATCGTCATCCTCATTGCCATCGCGGCCCTGGGCGCCCTGATCCTGGGCTGCTGGTGCTACCTGCGCCTGCAGCGGATCAGCCAGTCGGAGGACGAGGAGAGCATCGTGGGCGAAGGCGAAACCAAGGAGCCCTTCCTCCTGGTCCAGTATTCTGCGCGGGGACCTTGCACCGAGAGGAAGGCCAAGCTCAGCCCCAGCGGCCCCAAGGCGCACGGCTAGCGGGATTTGTGCAGGCTGCGGATCCCACGGATACTGTGAAGGACACGGAGGGCTGCGCCCACCAGTCGCGGCCATGCATGCCCGGGGAAGACGACCCTCCTTGCCCTGGGACATTGTGCCCCTCGCTCTCCGGCACGAGGTCTGTTGCTGGCAATGGACAGGGCAGCTACGCAACCTGCTACTTGAATTGCCCACTGAGCCCTGACATAATGTGAGACAGCTGTGGAGGGAGCGTGTGGAGGAGCCGGGCCGCCTCTCCAGGAACTGGGAAGAAGCGAGACGTTGGGGGTGAGCCACCTTTGGATTCAGGAGATGCTCCATGAGCCCCGCAGGGATTGCTCCAAAACCAGTGGGGGGGGAGGGGGGGTGCGATGTTGGACTTGCATCTGGGGTTCCAGGAGAGAAGATCAGGGCTGCTATCGGCGGCTGCGGTTCTGGAGGGCCGTTTTCTTGGTGTACTTTAATAGGGGCCTCAGTGTGCAGACGGGACCTACTTCCATGAGGCCCCTGCCAATGCTGCCTGGGGATAATGGGAGTTGTAATCAAATGATGGGAGTCTGTTGTCCCTGAAGTGAGGGGGGGGGGCTTGGGGGAATAGCCGTTTGATTGCTGAAAGCAACAGCAGCCCCCCCCCCCCCTCACAGCCAGTGACGACTGCTTCCCTTTTGGGGTGCAGTCAGAGGCTGGGATTTGGGGGGTGGGGGGTGCAGCAAAAGGCCCTTGTGTAACTAGCCACTTCCTTGCCTGTGGAGGCAGAGTTCTTGGGGGGGGGGGTTGCTCTTGTTCCTCAGATGTACAGTTCCCAGTGAGTGTATTTTTGTAGTTAAACCCGTCCCCTCCAAGGGGCTTCTGGGAATGTCCAGCCAAGTCCCAGGGGAAGAAGAGGGCTCCCCCCTCGCAGCATCTTTTCTATTTGTGCGTTTATGGCCAAAGGGAGACCCTGAGACTTTTGAGAACAACCCCCCCCTCCTTTGGCCTAAGTAACACACTGCAAGGGGGAGAAACCTAGGACCCCCCCCCCTATTTCAGCCCCTCTGGCTGGCTGCTGAGTCAAGGGGGGGGCCTCTGGCACAGCTTTGCCTGGAGCTCCCCCTTCCCTGTTCACGGCTAGCAGTTTGGGGAGCCCATCCTGTTGCCCTCAACTGCGTAAATGCTGCTTCCCACTGACAGCCCCTCATCCAAGCCCCCTTCCCCCCAGGCAGGGCAGAGGCTCCTTCAGCCAGAAGTTCTCTAGGGAGAAATCTTGAAGGTTGGACTTTTTGTGTAATTCCAGCCCTGATTTTGAGCCAAAGAAGGAAAAGCCCAGATAAGAGTCATCTTGGCTTGTTGGTGGTGGCCACCCTCCAAATTGTTTAATTTAGGTTAAACTGATACAAAATCTATCAAATTAGTGCAATCTTAAAGTGCAAAGAAGAATCCCTGCAATTTGACAATTTCACAAACCCCGAGAGCTGCCGCTGTGGGTCCATGGCTCATTAAAAAAAAACACTTGTTTCTCCAGCCCAGCAAAGGGAGGGAGGCCACCTGGTGACCTTCCAATAAAGTTTGCCCCGGACTCGGCTTCCTCCTCATTCCAGGCTTCGCAGAGCTACTCTGTCCAGTTCTCCTTGCTGTGCTCCGTGGGGACCCTGGAGTCCAGTGGGGCAGCCCCCCCCTCCTCCACCTGGGGGAAGTGGTCCTGCCCAGGGGACGGGAGGCTTGTGGGGTCCTCGGGGGGCCGGCTGCCGCCTTCCGAGCCCGGCTCTGCCGCCCGGTGTTTCTCTGCAATGGCCAGCAGGACCTTCAGGAAGGCGTTCTCGGTCAGGAGGGTCTCGGAGGCCTCGGCCAGCTTCCGCAGCTTCTCGGCCATGTCCTCCAGCTGCCAGGTCCTCTTGCTGCACAGCCCCTGCAGCTGCTCCTGGTGGCTCTGCTGCTGCTTCAGGGCGTGGGTCTCTCGCTGCAGCCGCTGGCTCTCGCTCCGGGTCTCGGACAGCTGCCCCTGCAGCTGCCCCTGGGCCTGGTGGAGGACCCGGATCTCGGCCTTCAGCAGCCGGATTTCCTTCTCCAGGTGGGCGATGCGTGCCTGCTGGAGGTCGGTCTCTTGCCAGAGGCTGGGCCCCCAACCCTCAGCCAGGAAGGGTGGGCTGGAGTGCCGCAGGATGAACCTCAGGAGGTTGGGCAGGCTGATCAGGGAAGTCACGGGGAACTTGGAGCTCTGGTCCTTCCTAGGGGAGCGAGAGAGAGGGGTGAGCCTTGCTGGGCACAGGGGGCCAATGGTGGAATGAGAAGAGATGGAAGGGAGCTTGGAGGTCTTCTAGTCCAACCCCCTCCTGGTCAAGCAGGAAACCCCACACCCTGTCAGAGAAACGGCTGTCCGGTCTCTTCTGCTGATGAGAAGCCGCCTTTGCCCGGGTTAAGGCAGGGGCTGAAACTCCGTATAGGTTACGTTCAGGCTAGGAGGGCAGTGGGGAAGGGATCCCTGGTTTGGGACAAGTCTGGCTTCAGCTGATCCCAGTGGCCACTTAAGACTCCCAGGGATTTGCACACAGCAGGGACGGAACTGCTTTGCCAGTTTCTACCCCAGGAGCCAGAAGGGCAGGAAATACAGGCTCTGGACAGCAGCTGCTTGTTTATCCTGCCCAACCTCTGGGCCAGGAGCCCAGCTGGCAAGTCCTGGATCCCTCCTATTTGCAGCTCCAAGCCACAATCGGCTGGGCCCGAGGGCTCCTGAGACCTCGCAAAAGCTGAAATTCCACCCTGATTTCCCAACCCGAATGGAAAAGAAAGACGGTTCTGATATAGTCGCATCAGCCCCGTTTCTGAGACCTTTTGGGGCCTGGACCAAATCCAAACAGTCCCTGAACTGCTGCAGATGCTCTCAAGGTGCAAAACACAAGTGGGGGGCAAGTGATCCGGCATTTGCAGCATTCTTTTCTTCAGAGGCAACAAAAGCAACAATTACATTAATTGCGGCTGAACTTCCGTCCCTGTTCCCCACCCACCACCAACACTTCAGATGACTGTAAGGGGGGGGAGGAGAAGCAGCCTCCTGGGCGCTCTGCAGATTGTGCAGGCATCGTTTAGGGAGCCCCCCACCCCCTTAAAATATCACCCTTTAATCGTGAAGCCCAGGTGTGGGAAGGAACCGAGCAGGAAATCCCCACCTGGGTTTCCTTAATGGCCGCTTCCCATTGCTGGAGAAAGGCTCTCTGAGAGCCTCTTCCATGCAGTGGGGCCTGTGATGACATCAGGCCCAGGACTAAGGAAAGGCTCGGTTCTCCCGACCGGCTTTGGGAGCCAGTTTGGTTAAGACTCTGGAGTTCCAATTCTGCCCAGTTGGGTGACTTGGCCAGTCCCTTACTCTCAGCCCTAGGAAAGAGGCAACGATCCTCCAGGTTTGCCAAGAAAACTGCTCATCCAGGAATCAACACTACCTTGGAGGCAACAACGTCAACAACAAAATTGTTGCTTTTAAGCAGGCGGCCCTTTCAGACACCAAGTGGTCTCTTGTTGCATTGAAATTCTGCTTTCTGAAAAATACAGTACTTTATGCTAATGATTTACAAAAGTAGGGTGCGAACTATGGTTTCCATGAGTATTCAAGCGCCTGGGAATCTGCGGGCCGTTTTGTCTTCAGTTATCCTGCTTGTACAATTTGCAATACATTTCCCCCTTGATAATGGAGGCTTTTTACTCGAGACTTAATCCAACACAGCATTATTGCAATTGAGTTGCCTTCCCACATTGTAGACATATCTTATAAAAATCTCTCAATCCAGATGCAAAATGAGCTACTTGCCGGTCATGAGGGAAAAAGAGGATGTTGGGGAGGTGGTCGGTCATGAACTCCCAGGGGAGATCGTTCTGAGAGACGTCGATCCTATTGAAACAGAGAAGCACGCAGGGTGTGGCAGGCTTTGGCAGAGAGGCTCTTCCCATGGAGACCCTCCTTTCCAGGGAAGAGCAACTGGGGTGCTAAGTCAATCATCATAGCAAGCTCTGCTCAGAATCTCCGACACACAAAAACAGCACAAAGGCTTCATTTGGACACAATTGGGATTTGTTCCTGCAGCTTTCAGATCTGGCAAAAATGAGCAAAGCCACAGGAGAAACCACTTCTCCTCTGGCCACCGAGCCCTGCAGAGCACCTGCCGATTAGAGGTCACCCCTGATGGCTTCCCCCCCCCTCCCCGTCTTCCCCTAGAAAAGCATGAGAGGAAAGGGGGTGGGGGGGGAGGAGACTTTTCCAAGAGACCCCCGTTTCCGTCCCTTTCCTAGCCGGGATCAGCTGGGCAAGGGACAGGCAGGAGGGGTCCCGGCTGCAGACAGAAAAGCCAGGCAGGGACCCAGACCCACCGGCCCCTCGGAGCTTCCTGGCCTCCTGCTCCCCCCAAATGGCACCAAGACCCCCAAAGGCAGATTCCAGAGCAGGAAGGGGGTGCCTGGCCTACCTGGCCACCATGAAGCGCTTGGGGGGCAGGATCCGAGCCAGCTGGATGAAGACGTGGCTGAGAGAGGCGCAGAAGCCACACCAGGGGGCGTAATACAGCAGCAGGACAGCCTGGGCGAGGGGGCGGGGGAGAAATGGGGAGAGGCAGGTCAGGAATCCACATAGGCAGCCCCATGTCAGTCATCCCAACCTGGGGAGGAAGCCCCTCCTTTCATGGAGGAGCGGGGAGACCCCCTCCCAGGTGCCTCGACAAACTCCCCCAAATACAAATCCCTGAACGGGAGCCACCCTGCCAGCCTTCCCCAATCGCTGGCTGTGGGGAGGGGGGGAATTTCTGCGTAAAACATCTGGGATGCAGAGCAGCCCCCAGAACAGGCGCGGGGCCAGAGTCACCTTTGGGCTCCTCAGAATCAGCTGGTGGAAAGTGCCGGTGGTGACTTCCTGAACCAGGTGCGGCTGCAGGCGGGTCTGGCTGGGCCGGGGGTCCCCCACGAGGTGCCTCTGCAAGGGGCTGAAGAGGACGGTGTAGTTGCGGATGAAGGCTTCTGCAAGGGAGAGGCGCAAAGTCAGCGGGACGCTCGAGAGAGCGAGGTCTGCTCTGGATCCCCTTGGGATGAAGCACAGAGGCGCAAAAGGGTCGTGGGAGAGGAGAGGAGGAGCCAAAGAAACGGCAGCATTTCCCGGGCAAATATTCCCGGCTGCCGTCGTCGTCCTCCCACCGCTCCTGCCGCGAAGGTGCAGCCGGTGTGGGGGGGGGGGGCAGCAGCAGGCCGTACCCAGGCTGGCTCTCAAGAGGGCCCGTTTCTGGCCCAGGACGTAATGCACCTCTTCCTGAAGGTCCACGATGGCAGCGAACTCCTTCACGGGGGGAGACCCAGCGGCCCCCAACCTCTCCGCATACGTCCAGAAGAGGTTGGAGTCCAGCAGGTAGAGGTTGAGGCTCTTGTTGGTCCTGCAGCTGAGGCCAGGGAGGCCGGCCTGCTCCTCAATGTGAGGAAGAGGCTCGGGGATGCCCTCCGCCTGGCTCTCTCCGTGGGGGGCGAGGGAGGCCCCTTCGGCCAAGTCCAGCAGGTCCCTGCTCATCGTCCTGCAGCAGGCGCTGTAGGAGCCGAAAGGGCTGTAGAAGCTGAGGAAGTGGCCGCACCAGGACACCGTCTTGGACACGGCGTGGAAGAAGGTCTGTTCCTTGAGGCAGAAGGAGTCCACGGCTGCCTTGATGGCCACGAAGCTGCAGCGCAGGCGCACCAGGGGGCTGGGCTGCACCCCGCCCGTCCGGTTGATGCACAGCTCGCAGACGTTGTGGGTCCGGGAGAGGCCGTGCCACTGGGCGGGCAGCAACACCGTGTTGCAGCAGGAGCGGCTGGAGGAGCTCTCAGCTGTGGGGAGGCGGAGACCGGCAGGCCCCGGGGGGCCCCCTCCTTGCAGGGACTGGGGCTCCACGTCCTCTTGCTGGCTCCGGTTGCAGGTCTTGTACTCTAGCGCCAGTTGGGAAATCTGAAGAACAGGAGAGGAAACCGTAATTCTGCTCCCACCTGGCAGCAGGAGGGCCCGGCGGCTGACGCACAGGAGGCCTGGGATTCCAGGGGGCAGCCATGCCAGGCCTCCTCCTCCTCCTCCTCCCCCCTTGGGCTTGTTCTGGGATGCCTGGCCAAACAATGGCTCGGGCCCCCGGTTTCTGTGACACTGCTTGAGGGCAGCAGAGGGCCAAGGAGGGGAAGCTGTGCCACCAGGGCCCAGTCCAGGGCAGCCCTCGCTCACCTCATCCAGGAGGGGGTGGCTCTCGGCCAGCGGATCGAAGGGCAGGAAGAGGAAAAGGGCCGGCCCCTTCTTCAGCTCGTTGTACAGCAGAAGGCTCTTCCCCCCGTGGGGTCTCAGCCAGCGGAGGAAGGTCTCACGGTTCTCCAGGGCCCACTTCCAAACGTTTTCAGCAGTGAAGTTCAGGGTTTTGTGGGGATAGAGCTAGAAGGAGAGGAGGGCTGGTTCTCGGGGGCTGCAAGCCAGTCACAGAACGAGCAGCTGGACCGACCCCCCCCAACAGGTGTGCTGCCCCCCCACCTCCTCTATCGCAGGCCTGTGCGCGAAACCCCTGCAAGGGCCCCAAAGAAGCGGATCCAGGGAGGAAACGTTTCTGGGTCGATTCCCAGCAAAGGAGCTCAAAGGACCGGCAGGCAGGATCGCCCAAGGGATCCCACCTGACACGGGAGGCCCAGGGAAGGCCCAGCTCTGAGGCCGGGAATTGATTTAGATTTAGATTTATTAACATTTGTATGCCGCCCACTCCCATTGGGACTCTGAGCAGAAGGGGATTATGGGTGGGTTGAAGCAATGAAATGCCTTCCTCTACCTTCCCCTCACTTTTTGCCTACCAGCTGCTGCTCCCCTGGGCCGTTTCTTCAGGCTGAGCCCAGAGGCAGCTGCTGGGGCTGAGCCAGGCGAGGGGCCCGAGAGGAGGGCAGCGCTTCAAGCCAAGCAGGAGGATCTCTTGGGGGCCGCTGGGGCTCCGCTGGCTTTCGGGCTGCCAACTGGGGTGGCAATACTCACAAGGGACGCGTTGATGTGTCTGTGCAAGTAGATGGTGCCCGGGTCAGTCAGCGCGACTTCCTTGGCAAGCAGCCGATCAGTGATCACCCCAAAGCGAATGGTTCCCAGGTAATCTGTCGGGATACAGATCAGGGATCCCGTCAGGAAAACAACCCTGGCTTTCCCCTCTCGGCAGGCAGGGGAAGCGGCTTTCCCACCTTCTGCGACTCCTGCGCGACTGGTGCAGCCACCGCAGCAGGCGACTGGGAAGCATCTGACCTCATGGAGCCTGAAGGCTGCGGGATGCCCGAGGACCCCCAAAAAGGCCCCTGCAGCCCTCGGACAGATCAGGATGGGAGATTCCTCATCAGCTCCACCATTGCCCTCCCTTGGCCAGGCTGGAAGCAGCCGTAAGAGCCGCCTTCAGGCTGGAACAGAGCTAATTAGAAGTCCCTGCGGAAAACTCCCCCCCCCCCATGAGCATCCAGCTGTGCTGTTTGTCGCCTACGCTGCTTCCGTTGCCATGGAGGGCAGAAAATGGCACCTCCGGGAGAGCAGCAGCGCTTCCCCCTCAGGACACAGCATGCCACAACCTGAATTGGTGCAACTCCACAAAGCCCCCCCCCCCCCATAAGGGTGAAAGCCGGGAAGGCCACAAGCCAAGAGGGCGTCACTGACCTTTGTTTAAGGAGTGCAGGGCCGAAGTGAAGAAGGTGAGGTAGCCGGGGGGCTGGGGAGAAGCATTGAACTCAAAATATCCCAGGATGCTGGGCTGCAAGAGGAGGGAGAGGGATGGGGGGCAAAATGAATGCGGGCATTCCCTTGGCAGGGAGGGGGCCGGACTCGCTGCTGCCTGCCATGCTGGGCGAGGGGAGCTGGGCTACGAACCCCCAGTTTACAAAAAGAAGGGGAATTGCACCAAGATCCAGAAAATGCCCAAACTTTGCAACAGCTGGGAAAGTTAAAACCTGACTTCTTTGCGGGAGGGAAGCAGCTAAAGAGCAGCTACAGAGAGCTGGCTCAGCGGCCTCTTGTCTCTCCAGCTGGCCTCCTCTGGCGGCTTGGAGCAACAGAGGGAAACCATAAACCACAATTAAGACCACAATCTCTGCTTAGGCAGACAGCCACTAAAAACAGAAGCAACAACTGGAATGCCAGGTGACTTTTGTTTCCTGTTCTACCTTGAAAAGCACAAAAACAATTTCAAAAGGGGGGGGAGGGGGAGGGAAGGCACCGCCTGCAAAGAAATCCTTCCCTTTGCTGCACAGGATGATGAGCTGCTTCTGAGACGCTGCCAGCTGTGCTGTACCAAATAAAAAAAAACCCATTCCTTGAACGGAAATAGACTCTTGGGCTTGAAACCTCTGCTCTGAAAATGTAGAGCTAATAATTTCCTCCAGCAACTAGTTGATGTGGGTTTCTGACTTTGGGAGGGGTGCAGGTATTTCAGAATATTATCATGCCGACCCCCCCCCCCAAAAAAAAACAAAAAACTATGGCCCTCTTTCCCAACGTTATCAGACAGAAACGGACTCGGACAATTAGGAAAGATGCCAACTGTCAGCATCACTCCATTAAATAATTAGGAAAGAAAGACTAAGAGATTCCATGTGTTGGAAATCAAAAGTACTTTTACTAATTACAAATGGTTAGCGAGCAGTTGCGAAGCAAAGTCTACTTAATGAGGTCTACGTTTCATGACAGCTGAAGCAACAGCAAGGCAGAAGCTGACACCAACCAGTTTCCAGTTTTAAAAAGTTGCAATGAGAAACTTTTTAGGAGCTTCGAAAGAAACGGCTCTTGGCAGTGAGGGAGGGTAGGGTGGCGATGGGAAGCA